TATCTTTTATTTTAATTATAATCTTCTTTAATTAATAGTAATTTTACTATTTAATTATCTTAAATCTTGAATTATATTAATTATTAGTGACTTCACTAAGCTGATCTTTATAATTTCTTTAATTTATTTTATTCTTTCTTTATTTATTTTACTCTTTTATAAAGATAATATTTATAGATATTAGTACAGATCTTAGAAATCTTTGTTATTATTGAAAAAATAATTTAATTTCTCTCCCTTTATCTTTAATTAATTCAATCTCTTCCAACCTTATATTATTAAGAAAAATTCAAGTAAAAATCTATTTATTAATTTATTATAATAATATAATATCAAAATATAACTAAAAATTTTAAGTTAAAAGAAGACTTATTTATTATATTTAAAGAATATTAATTATATAGTTATTTCAAATAATAAGATATTAAAAATAAAGATTTTATTTGAATTTCATAATATACTAATTGTCAGATATATTAAAATAAATAAAATATATACTATTATATCTTAATAATTCTACTGATTAAAAATAAATAAAATTATTTACAAATATATTATTAATTATAAATCTTGTTAATATAATAAAAATAATAATTAATAATTCTTAGAATTGCTTTAATTACTTGTTATTTCAGAAAATAGATAGAAATAAATTATCATAAACTTTATTATTTAATTATAAATACTAAGTCTAAATATAATATAATAGTTATATTTATTAACAAATTATTTAAAAAAGCTTAATTTATATTAATAACTATAATATTAATAGCATTTTATATTACTAAGATATTTCTTAAAAATATTTTTAAACTAATAATTAACTTGTAATAATTATATTAAATAAAAATACTAAATTTATAAATAGATTTTAGAAGTTATTATTTGAATAACTTAGAATTAAATTAATAGTAAAGATGACGTAGCAAGTATGTGATACTTATTTATTATCTGTTATAACATGTTGCAACTCCAAAATTTTATAAGTCACAACTAGTTGCAATTAGGTGATGCTTTATTTGTCATCATATTATAACAGTTGAGAAGCCATCTTTAATTAGTAGTAATAATAATATTTTATTTATAATTAAATAATTAAATAGAAATATTAAATAGAACTCTTGAAAAAATACTTAAAATCTATATAATATATAAATATGACTAATAGAATAATAATCTAATAATAGCTAAATTTACTTATAATAATAGTAAAAATACTTTTACTAAGTATATATCTTTTAAACTAAATTATAAATAATCATCTTATATATCTATTAATATTCTTTTATCATAAAATAATATTATAGTATTATAAGAATTTATAAAGTATTAAAATATTAGAATTAAAATCACTAAAGATTTGCTATTAAAAATATAAAAAAGATAAAATATATAATTAATATAAAAAATATGAAGAATTTAATATTAGAAATCAAGTTTTTTTCTTTATTAGCAATATAAATAATTCTATAGATAAATAAAAAATAATCAGAAATTATATATCAAAGTTTATAGAACTCTTAAGATTATTATCAAAATATCTTTTATTACTTATAAACTACAACTGTTAGCAAATATAAAAGTATGTTTAGTATTTTATATATTATTATTAAAGAAATGTAATTTAAACAATAAGTATAATAGATATTAATTATTACTAATTATTATTATATTAGATAATAAAGAAGAATATGAGTTTGAAAAATTCTTAACAAAAGATTTCATTATCATAAATTCTAATATCTTATTAAATAGCTTGAATATTCTTTTATAATATATTTTGAAAATCTTTTAAAAACTTAAAAAATATTATAAAAAAGATAAAAGTCTTTAAAAATTTATGTACTTGAATATAATAAAAATATTATATTTTAAGTAAAAGAAATATAATAATTTTAATTAGATTATATTTTTTAGTATTAGAACTTTATTTTGTATATTCTATATAATAAATTATCTTCTATATTATATATTTTAAAGATCAATTTCATATTAAATATATAGATAATTATTTATATATTAAATTAATTAAATTTTATATATTATTATATAAATAATTAATATATATTTCATAATTTCAAATTTAATTTATTAATATTTTTAATTAGATTTATAATTAATATATTTTTTATAGTTTTATTTATTCTTTTCATTATTTATTTATATTATTATTTATTATATTTATAATTATTGAATTATGACTAGCTATTCTCTAGAAATATAAATTAAGATAATTAATTCTGTTTAATCATATATAATTTAATTAATTAATTATTATTAATTTATTTGAATTTTGTATTTATTTCTTTTTTTATAAATAAGTTCTTTTTGTTCTATATTTTTATCTCAGATTTGAGTACTATTCAAATAATAAAATCATAACTTTACAAATTAAACTACTTATATTATATTTTATCTTATTTTATATAAAACTAATTATTATAAAAAATATTAATAATACTAATTAAGTTAATTAAAGTTATTATATAATTAGCTAGTATTAGTTTATTCAAGCAGATTCAGTTTTTTAATTAATTTAGTAATATATAAAATATAATAAAATAATATAAAAATTAATAAAATAAATTTTTAGTTTTTTTAATTTTACAATATTAATTGATTTTTAATAAATAACTTAATTATATTAATAAATTAGAATTAATTAAATAATATATCTCCTTGATGAATCTGTTTAAAATAATATTAAATATAATATTATTCAATTTTTTCAATTTTCTATCTTGAATTCACTAAATATTTAATATATTAATTAGAAAATATCTGAAATCTGTTAGTATTCTCTTAAAATTTCTTTCAATAATCTTTATAATTTTTTTGTATAATTTTGCTAATAATATATTTATTTTTCATTTTTAAAACATGCTCAATATTATATTTTCAAAAAGATAATATATTAATTTATTAAAAAAGAAGTTAGAAACTCTATAATATAAATATCAATTTAAATAAAGTACTTCTATTATTTATATTAATAATAAAAGGTGATTTTTTAATAAGATTAAATAATTAATTGAGTGAAATTTACCTTTTAACTTTATTTCTTTCATTCAGTCAGTTCCAACTGAATTTTTAATTATATTAATATCTTATAAAATAGTTAGTATATGATCTTGTCAGAGAATCATTAGAATCATATCGATTATTAATACACTGAAAGATGTTTATTTTACTTCTAATATATATTTTTAATTTTATAATATAATACTTTAGATATAAATTATAACTGATAAGACTTTAATCATGTAAAAGAAGCAGAACAACTTTTACATGTAAATATTTGTTGGATGTGGCATAAAATGCTGTAAATGCTAAAGATAATCAGATTTTTCATTTTGCGAATTGTATAGTTCAGAAAATTGATGAAACATATAATAAAGATGTCGGTAGGAACACAACCACTCGCAAAAGTGAAAAATACTGAAACTAATCCAAACTCTTTTTATTAAATGATTTCAAACCCAAACTTGATTTAATATATGCTTCAATAAACGACATTCTTTTTTTAAAACTTTGGTAATTGATCTTGATATCGAAATACTTGCGCATTAATTTGATGAGAAATAATGTGTAAGATAACATTTAGTCAAGGTTGGTTCTTTTTATTCATAGTTACCTCATCAATCGTTTTGATACCAGTCGGTAAATAAGATGAAATATTGTAAAAAATAGTAATTTTTTATGAATTAATCTATTTCGTCCCCATTTTTATAATATTTCGTCGGAATAATACTCAACTTGATTTTTTAAGTTTGGTAAGAGTAAGCTCATAATTTAATAACATTTTTTCATGTTTGAAGAATTGAGTTAAAGGTGTCCATCCAGAACGGAGCTTATATCAGCAGATGATATGGGTTAATTTTTCTCTTGTCTCTGACACAGCAACATTAGCGCATGTAATTCCCGTAGAATTATTAAATACAACTTTGGTGGAACAAGGTATTTGATGGATGATGGATGCACTACTATAGCTTTCCTCATAAGTTATATAAATTTCTTTGCAATAAGAAAAATTTTATTCTGTATTTTATTTAGTATCAAAAAGGTTAATGAGAGTAATACATATTTTGCTGAACGAAACGAATGGTGATTCGTCATATGGAAGTATATGTACTTGGAACATAATACAATAAGAAAATCCGAATCTATTGGTTGACTTTCAAGTTCAAAGTTATCCTATGTTAAATCATCGTATGAACATACATGTTCATATAATTCTAAATTATGTTAAATTTAATAGTAAAAAGTTATTTCTAATGAAAGATTAAAACTAAAATTATGATACTATTAATCAAAAAAAGAGTTATAGAGGAAGTAGAGCTAATATTTGCGACAGCACTTTTTCTTTCATGATCGTGATCACTACCGCTACGACGATTTTCGTCATTGTCTTTCATTGTGTTATGTTTATTAATCTCCAACATTGTGCACGAGGAACCTTTTCAAAGCATAACAAAATGATAAGTAAACTTCGCGGGACTAGGATGAAAATCAAACAAATTTCTAACCTTCGGGAGAAATTTTCGATCTTCCACTTTTATGGTCAATCCCCACGTCAATTTGTCGTTTCGTAATTTTGTCGATGTATTTTTGCATATTCTCTTTCAGATTCGGCGTATTTATTTCGCATGCTTCATGACAATCAGCAAATTTGATTGCCGAGTTTTCAGAGTCTAGATTTAGACCGTGTTTTACGAGACCGCCAGCCACGAAATTATTTTTAAGCATTGTACCGATTGTATCGCGAACTACTACTTGATAATCTTGCACGATCGAAGTTAAAAGATTTTCCGAGCCAGCAACTGAACCGTACGCCCAATTAGTTACCCACTGTAGGGATAAAATTATAGCAAATTTAATATCTCTTCACGAAATAGTCAATTCAGAAAAGTATACCTCGTCAGTCGTGTCGCCAATCCCGTAAATTCCATGAGCAGTTAGATTTTTAAGAGCGATTGTACCGGTTATACTGGCCGCATTGTATACGACGTCGATGCCTTTGATGTTTAAGATTGCGTTGAAGATACCTTGGGATTCGTTATTTTCATTCACGAAAGATTTGCTGTAAAGGCAATATGCGGTGCAATCCTCACAAGCGTGCTTTACCCCATTAGCAAATCCATTAACTTTTCTCTTGACCGATGGAATGTCTAAAATAAAGCAATAACATGCATATAATGAATCTTCGAAATAGATAAGGTCATGTGACAACACCTCACTTACCAGCACCGCCGATAACTAAAATCAAGCAAAAATTTAATGATAATTCTCGAAAATAAAAGTTTAGTACAAATTGTATCCTTACCAGCAACTTTCTTATTCTTCTTCTTTGATATTTCAGCCGCCAATAAACCTGCAACAAACCCTTGTTGATCTTCCGCAAACAAAATGCTCGCGATATTCTTCACGGGAGGTGTAAACTCAAAATTAATTATTCCAAATTTTTTTCCAGGATATTTATCCGCCATTTCATGAGTTGCTTTTTGCGCAAAGTATCCTTGGGTGATAAAGAAATCATTGTTTGGTGCAACTTTAGATAAAAGACTCTTGTATTCTGCTTCCGTCTCATCTTTTGGATTTGTTAGCTCGAGATTACATATTGGTGGTGTGCAAGCTTCACGTGCTCCTTTTACTGTTGATTCGTTGGTTGTTCCTTCTTTCTGTAGATCAGGTCCGCCATGTAGAATCACGGCAATGTTTGTGGAAGCATAAATATAATTTTTTGAGGAAAAAATGAACAAGAATGTGAAAAGGAAGAATTTAAATGTTGCGTTCATTGTTTTATTTTTATTTATTTTCGTACCATTCGTTACAATTTGCTTATATAGATTCACTAAAGAAATATATCTTACCAACATGAGGCTTTTTTGGCGTATTTTTATATTTATCAATTTTATTCATAATAGTAAATTATATTACAAATGAATTAAAAAATCAAAAATTTTGCATTGCCAATGTAAATAATTAAGTTGATTCATAAAACGCAGAGTTTATCACTTAACGCCTATAGAACGCTGTATGCTTTACGTTGAATGATCTATTTCTCAATTCAAGATTTTTCTTGAAGGAAGTTAAAATGGTGAAGAAAGGCTCTTGAAATCCTATCAAAAGAAACTGCGGGGTAAATGTTATAAAAAATTCATATCGTGTTTTATCGTAACAACTACACTGGGTTCGTTACATTCTGTTCAAGAATCGCCCGAGGAAATATTGTTATACACTAATTAAAAGAGTGGTTTTCACTCTATAATTGAGGATAGAATAATTTTACAGGTAAGGGTTTCTCTAAGTGTTCTAAAGGTCCCTATGAGACAGACTTAAAATTTTATTTTAAAAAAATAATCTATTAATATTTATCTGAGGTACAAATCTTTTTGTACTGACCATAGTATGCTTAATAAATAAAATAAAATTACACTTACCTTGCTACTTATTTTTCCATTGATTAACTTCAAAGCTTGTCTGCCATAGAAGTAATGGAGGAATTCCACTATAAACAATCCATACTTCGAATTTTTTTATTGAATTGTGGCAGAAATTAAGTCCAACATTTGCTTTTTAATACGTAAATTTTTGGTTATCTGAAAATATTCAAATCATTGTTTCCAGGCCGCGTCAATAAGTTTATCGATTAGTCTTTGTTGTTGTTATCAGAAACCTCCGAGAAATCTATTTTATTATTTCCATTTTCATTGCATAAAGTCGATTTACGTACAAGTCATCACAGGAAAACTTTAGTATGTTAAGAATCCTCATTAATTGTAAATTATTCAGTCTAACACTCCTAATTATAGTCACGCCATTTTAAATTAAGGCGTAACAATAAATACGTTGCGATGTAGTAAAACAAATGAGATAATACAATTATGTTATATGTAGTGATAATGAAGTGTTTCTGTGCTAAGAAATGATATTCATTAAAAAAAGTTACTTAGATGACTGGTAAAGATATATAAGCACCAACACAAATCAAGATATATACAATATTCCAAAGATATCATTCCAAAAGTTAAGTGGATATATTCTAGCCAACTCATACTACATGTAATAATGAAATTGAAAAAAAAACGAAATTAAAAACATGTAATAAATATGTTGGATGAAAAATTCTACACGAAAATACGAAAAATAAGATACATTCGTAAGTCCACAATTTGAACAAAATTAAAATGGGGCTTTGCTCTTGTGGCTACTCATCGGGATTTCCGAGGTCGAAATCATATTGAAGTGTTTGATATTCTGATATATCTTCATTTCCTTTGTTTATCCGAACTACTTGACATAATTTATTA